AGATCTTGATATCGAAGCTTTTTTCTCATTAAAACAACTTTTTTTCTTGTATTATTATTACATTATTCTCGTAATATTATGACTTTATTCTCGTAATGTTACGACTTTATTCTTGTAGACCTAATATTATGACTTTATTCTCGTAATTTCCCAAAATGGCCCTAATACTCCATCGTAGTCCGTCAAGTTCAAAGTGCTTGTTGCATTTTTGCTAGTTCAACTTGTTCAAAAGATGACAATTCCTCATCAGAGCACCCATGGCCGTATCTGAAGTCCAATTGAATAACTTTTTTATAGGTGAGTTTCATGGATTTGCACGCCAAGTTGTCATATGGGGACCAGGTCCTGTGTGGCAACAATACGTTGACATTTAAAAATAAAATGTACTTTTGAATACTACTAATAGCTCAGATCAAGTAGTTTGAATGTAGTGTTACTCAATAAATCAATAATAAATAAATAAATTAAAAATATTTTTCAGTTTCCTTTTGGAGAAAAAACTCAAATTTGCATTCCTTTTAAAAAAAAGTTTTACAGTCATTCGCTGAGGGTGTACTGAAGTATCTGCACTATAATCATCAAAATAAATGTCAGACACATGAATGCTTTCGTTTACATAAAGGAACATGTGAGAAGCCATTTCACCCTCAATTTCTCTTGTTGAAGATAATGGTGGGTGTAGGTTTCTGATTGATAACTTTAACTTGGTGACCTTTCCTTTCTTTTCTTTCTGTCCTGCTCTACTGTGGACCCATAAGGACTGCTGTCTCTGTACGCTGTGTCAAATATGTTATTACATGTTTTCTTCATTATGACCACTTTTTAAACTTTAATCCAAAGGTAACGTCAACAAAAATCTACAAATAACGCAATACCAGTAATTATCACATTGTCCTAGTTAAATACTACACCAGATGACTTCACTGAATAGCCAACCATTGGCTGAAGAGAATGAGCTATAGTGTTATGTTGATAGAGTTTATCTGGAGTAAACCCTACATACTCTCAACCCTCTGTAGTTACAGACCCCCACTGTAAAGATACAAAGTAAGCTACTCTAATCTTTAACTCCTCTGGGTTTGCCAAACAGCTACTTAGAAGGTAATGATCTCTTTGAGCTGAATCCCCCTGAATCCCCTAATATTTGCACTGATTAAATAAAGATTATTATAGCTATTGTGTATGATGTGGATTAGGGCATGTGAGGTGATCTAGTCGAATAAAGGAGGCGTCTAGATTCCTACAGAGATGTCAGGCTATATTGAGCAGTAACAGAGCAGTGCCTTACTTTATTGTCTACCGCCTGTTCTTATAAAGCACTGAGACCTACAAAGATGAGTAGGAACAAGTGATGTACACATCTATGGAAGTCAAGTTGCTGGCCATATTTGTAAGCGAACAGCTATATCTAGAGCCAGTGTTTGGT